ATTATCTGAGATAGGATCTTGCTCTGCTCTCGCAGCGGCTGGTAGTCGCAGTGGGTTGCTGAATCATTCTCGATCCAGAAAGACCACAGGACTCCTGGGCTCAAGCACTTGTTCTCTGGCCTCAGGTCTTTCAGGACCCTGATATAGTCTAAGGCTAGGACTATAGGAGTGTACACTTACTCAAGATGCCGAGATATTGTTATTTTTAAAAAATTATAGGATTGGTCTGGTCTTCCTTGGTTCACCCAGGCTGTCTAGTACTCCTGGCCTCTAGTGATACGCTCTGTGGGTATAGCTTGGGATCTACAACCCACCATGCCTGGGATAATTTTTAAAAATAGTGAAATTCGTCCGGCGTGGTAGTTGGTGGCTCAAGCATGTAATGCGGTAGTGAGTGGTTGGGAGTGGGAAGTGGCCAGTTTCTAGTGCGTCAGTGTGGTCACGATAAGTCAATGTCAGGAAGGGACAGTGAGACCCATCCTGGTATAATCATGGTGAAACACAGTCATATGCATAGAAAGAATACAAAACAAATAGCCACGGCGTCATTTAGAGACAGGGTTTCACCATGTTGGCCAGGCTGGTCTTGAACTCCTGACCTCAGGTGATCCACCCGCCTTGGCCTCCCAAAGTGCTAGGATTACAGGCGTAAGCTACCGGGCCTGGCCCAGAATTTTTAAATTGCATATATAGACATTTATAACGAAAAAGAAATAGGATCTTTACTTGCTATGGCAAAGTCCCTTTTTAAAAATTTTTTATTAGGCTGGGCACGGTGGCTCACACCTGAAATTCCAGCACTTTGGGAGGCCAAGGCGGGCGGATCACCTGAGATGAGGAGTTCGAGATCAACCTGACCAACATGGAGAAACCCCGTCTCTACTAAAAATACAGCATTAGCCAGGCATGGTCGTGAATGCCTGTAATGCAGCTACTCGGGAGGCTGAGGCAGGAGAATCTCTTGAACCTGGGAGGCGGAGGTTGCGGTGAGCCAAGATTGCACCATTGCACTCCAGACTGGGCAATAAGAATGAAACTCCATCTCAAAAAAAAAAAAATCTTGTATTAATAGAATTGGAAGTTGGTCGGTTAATTCAAATGGCTTCCCACTAGTAACCTACTAGACATAGTAGTCAGTGGACTGTTAGCATCACTCATATGTTTTACAGGGAAATGGAAGGTAAATAAGTGTTGCTTACATCAGGCTCAGTTAAGAGAATTGCTCCTGCACTTGGACTTTTCTTTTTTAAAGAGGATGAATTTCTCCTATCTCATTGTGTAACAATAACATTTATTGAACACTTACTATGTGTCAAGCATTGTCTTAAGTGCTTTAAATTATCAATTCCTTTAATCATCAACAACCCTATGAATAAGTACCATTAGTATCTCCTTTTATAGATGAGGAAACTGAGGTATACGGGGAAGAAAATTAAATTGTTCACAGTTATGCACACTGTGGGTGATAGAGTTTGAATTCAAACCCAGTCTGGTTGTTAGAACCCATTTTTTTTTTTTTTGAGGTGGAGTCTTGCTGTGTTGCCCAGGCTGGAGTGCAGTGGCACAATCTCAGCTCACCTGCCAACCCCACTCCCCGGTTCAGCGCTCTCCTGCCCCCGCCTCCTGGTAGCTAGGGACATAGCATGCCCACCATGCCCAGATAATTTTTGTGTTTTTAGTAGAGATGGAGTTTCACCATATTGGTCAGGCTAGTCTTGAACTCTTAACCTTGTGATCCACCTGCCTTGGCCTCCCAAAGTGCTGGGATTACAGGCGTGAGCCACCATGCCTGGCCTGGTAGAACCCATTCTTAAGCATGGTGCACTATGGCCTTTTTATCACTTTAAATTGCTTTATAGGATGTGATTATAGAAATGTGCCAAGTCATAGTTTATTTTTTTGTATTGTTTTATTATCGATTTATTTAGAGACAGAGTCTTGCTCTGTCACCCAGGCTTGAGTGCAGTGGCATGATCTCAGCTCACTACAACCTCTACCTCCTGGGTTCAAGTGATTCTCGTACCTCAGCCTCCCAAGTAACTGGGACTACAGGTGTGCACCACCATGCCTGGATGATTTTTCTATTTTTAGTAGCGTTGGGGTTTCACCATGTTGGCCAAGCTGGTCTCCTCTGCTCAAGTGATCCACCTGCCTTGGTCTCCCAAAGTGCTGGGATTACAGGCATGAGACACTGCAGCCAGCCTCATGTCATAGTCTATTAATCATTTATTCTAAGAAAAAAATTCGCCAGGCACAGTGACTCACTCCTGTAATCCCAGCCCTTCGGGAGGCCAAGGTGGCCGGATTACCTGAGGTCTGGAGTTTGAAACCAGCCTGGCCAACATGGCAAAACCCCGTCTCTACTAAAAACATAAAAACATTAACTGGGTGTGGTGGCACATGCCTGTAATCCCAGCTACTTGGCAGGCTGAGGCAGGAGCATCGCTTGAACCCGGGAGGCGGAGGTTGCAGTGAGTGGAGATTGCACCACTGCATGCCAGCCTGGGCGACAGAGTGAGACTCTGTCTCAAAAAAAAAAAAATTCCTTAAGCTTTCTCAATTATAAATATTCCCTTTGTATAGAAATCTCTCTATAGGTAATGGTACATGCCTGTAATCCCAGCACTTTGAAAGGCCAACGCAGAAGCATTGCGGGAGGCCACGAATTTCAAGACTAGCCTGGGCAACAAAGCGAGAACCCGTCTCTAGGAAAAATAAAATAAAAAATTAGTCGAGTATGGTGGTGGCCACCGATAGTACAAGCTACTCAGGAGCCTGAGATCAGAGGATCACTTGAGCCCAGCAGTTCAAGGCTGAGTGAGCTATGATTGAGCCACTGCCCTCCAGCTTGGGTGACAGGGTGAGACCCTGTCTCAAAAAAAAATTTTTTTTCAAGGTCTGGGTGAGAATGGAAACACCACCCATATACCTCCCCCACCTCAACACACACACACACACACACACACAAACACATACACAAGCACGCCCGCTAAATGTCGTCCTTTCTTCCTGCCTATGGATTTGACGCCTTCTATGGGGAGAGGTGCTCTCAGCAGGACGTCTCTGCAGGTTCCGTGGAGCTCATCCTAAGGCACGTGCTGGAAGGCAGAATGCCAATGTGCTTGCACACAGACCCACACGGGCAGGTGAGGAAGCCAGAGACGGATCAACTATGCGTCAGAAAGGGCTGGGGAAATGAGGGGAAAACCTCACAGCTTTTTCCCTCCCTTTCCAGGGAAGACACACACAATGCCGGGAGCCCAGAGCAACCTGGGGTGACTCCCCAGGCTCTCCTGGACCTCCTACAGCTCACAAGGGAGGAGGGCACTCAGGGCAGGCCTTGGGCCCTCCCTGTCACTATGTCCTACTTAGATCTCCACCAGGAAAGGATGAGGCCTTGAGCTGTTTGGAAGAGGAGCAACAAAAGTTCAAAGTAAGACCTGGTTCTAGAACAGAGCTCTCCTCTGGCAGGAGGGAGGTAAGGGGAGACCTGGAAAGACAGAGGCTGGGGTGGCCAATGGTACAACTCTGAGAACAGAGCAGAGAAAGGAAACCGATCCCCAGAAAGCAAGCAGCCTCTGTATGGAAAACTGCCCTTCCCCCTCACTGCTTACACAGGGTCCGACCTCCTGGACCCTGCATAGGGACCTGGTGATCCCAGAAGACTGTCGGGAAAGCACCCTGATTCCTGGTCTTGTGCAGAAGGCTATCACTAGCTTTGCTGATTTTACATGAGGACGACGATGATGATTTTTTTTTTTTTTTTCTGAGACAAAAGTCTCTCTCTCTCCCAGGCTGGAGTGCAGTGGCAGCAACCTCTGCTCATTGCAACCTCCACCTCCCGGGTTCAGGTGATCGTCCTGCCCCAGCCTCCCAAGTAGCTAGGATTATAGGCACCCGCCACTACGGCTGGCTAATTTTGTATTTTTAGTAGAGACAGGGTTTTGCCATGTTGCCCAGGCTGGCCTCAAACTCCTGATCTCAAATGATCCGCCCACCTTGGTTGCCCAAAGTACTGGGATTACAGGTGTGAGCCACCGCGCACCCGGCCTATTATTATTTTTATATGGAACATTTCACAAATTGGCGTGCCATCCTTGCACAGAGGCCTACTAATCTCTGTATCGTTCGAGTTTTAGTGTATGCGCTGCGCAAGCGAGCACAACTAGATTTGCTGATTTTGAGCAGCCCTTCCTGTTGGCCAATGGAAATTGGACTGGAGGAGGCACCCGGCTCAACCAGCGCTCCTCCCGCAGTCCTGCTGTGCTCAAGGTCAAGGTGAGGCCATTGACAGGGTTGAGGACCTGGGAAAGCCCTGGAGTCTGAGCCAAGCACGAGACCTTTGCTCTTAATTCCAGGTGGACCAACAGGAATGTCTGGCCCCATCTTGCCAGTGGGAGAGAAACCTCTACCTGACTGGCTAGTCTGATGCAGAGGAAGCCAGAGCACAGGCAACAAGGGCCTTGGGCTAAAGACAGTGGAGCCATCTCCACCTCCCGCTTTGTGCTGGGCAAGGCAGTGGATGTGTTGAACCAGGGCCTCCCTCGTGTGCCTCTCCTGGACAACAAGCTCACTTGCCTGTTGCCGGTCAGGCCTACCCGTGCCAAGGCAAATTGGCTGGAGAAGGATGTTCTCAAGCATGCTCAAGGTGAGTTGTGGGGAAGAGCAGTTGAGGCATAGGCAGGCTGGACTTATTTATTTATTTATTTATTTCAGATGGATTATAGGAAAGTGCTGTCATAACTTATTTTATTTTTAAACTATTATTATTATCATTAGTTTTGAAACTGAATCTCGCTCTGTCACCCAGCCTGGAGTGCAGTGGCACAGTCTCGGCTCACTGCAACCTCCCTCTCCAGAGTTCAAGGGTTGAGGTCGCATAGGACACCCGAGTGAAGTAGGTGAAGTCCCAGAGGACACTCCAGTGGTAGAGGCGCCTGTGGTCTCAGAAAAGCATCAGCTAGAGGAGATGGTAGAGGTACCAGAGTACACTCGAGTAAAATAGGTGGTTGAGATGCCAGGGGACACGCGAGCGGTGGAGCCGGAGAAGATGGCAGAGGTACCAGAAGACACTCGAGGGAAGGTGTCTTTGATCTTAGAAAATCAACTGGGAGATCCATGTTTCCACCAAGATGGTGGCGCTGGGTTCGGGGTGACTAGAGGAGACGGCAGGGCCTTTTCCCTTGGCCAGGACCCGACACATCACCCTTCGCTCGCTCGCGCACCCCTCCGCCACCAAGCCATCTGCCAGCCCGGGCGCCCGCTGTCCGCCGCCGAGTTCCGCTTCACCTCTGCGGACAGGAGCGCTCGGCTGCCGGCGGCGGCGCCTCCTTCGGGTCCTCCCCGGAGTAGCTCGCGGCCTGCCAGGAGGGCCCCGCAGCCCCGCGGTGTGGACAGGCAGCGACAGCCGGGAATGAAAGCCGGGATTTCTGGGCGGCTCCGGCGCCCCCTTACCCTGCCTGGGTTTCCGGATAAGGAAGCGCGGGTCCCGCGGGAACCTTAGCGAAAGGGAACGAGGCGGTGGCGGGGGGAGGCGGAGGGCGAGGGCGACGATGACCCGTGAGGCGGCCGCCGCAGCCCAGGCGCGGGGGCGACGACAGAGGGGGAGGTACGGTGTCAAGAAAACATGGTCACCATTATTATGTAAAATTAAAATATGGAAGAGATGATCCCTACCATCAACCAGCTTACAACCAGAGGCACTGACAAATGTATACAGATGGCTGTAATGTTAAAAATCTCTAAGAGCCTGATTTTAGAATTCACCGCTCCTCAGAAGTTTGGCGAAATATGCGTTGTTAAGCCTACGCTCAGATCAAGGTAGCAGCAAGACTGGTGTGGCCACCTGTTTTTAATCAGTGACTCAAAGCTGTGATCACCCTGATGTCACCGAATGGCCACAGCCTGTAACAGATCACCAGGAGAACCTCAGTCTGACGACACTGAAGCTAACTGAATGAAGCGAGCAGCTGCAAAGCATCTAACGGAATGCCTCATTACCACCTGTGGAAATGAGGCCTGCACGAATGAGTTTTGTGCTTCCTGTCCAACTTTTCTTCCTATGGATAATAATGTAGCAGTTGTTAAAGCCCTCGAGCTTTATAAGATTAACGCAAAACCCTGTGGTCCTGAGAACTCGAAAGCTGTCCCCAACAACTCCTGCTCTGAGATAAAAAATGAACAAGAAAGGTGCTAGAATTGATTTTAAAGATGTGACTTACGCCCCTTCTCGGGGTCATGATGGGCAGCAAGATGGCGTCTGCCAGTAGGGTCGTTCACGTTTATTGCCCAAGAGAAGTGAATGCACGTACTGTCTCTGTACCTAAATGTTCATAGAAAAAAAAGAGTTACTAGCAAAGAACTGGGGTCCAGAGCTGAGGGATTCCAGCCTGGCAGCAGGAGTGTGGCGTCTCAGCAGGTAGTCAAACCGCACACTCCCTTTTTTTTTTTTTTTTTGAGACGGAGTCTCGCTCTGTCGCCCAGACTGGAGTGCAGTGACCAGATCTCAGCTCACTGCAAGCTCCGCCTCCCGGGTTTACGCCATTCTCCTGCCTCAGCCTCCCGAGTAGCTGGGACTACAGGCGCCTGCCACCTTGCCCGGCTAGTTTTTTTTTTGTACTTTTTAGTAGAGACGGGGTTTCACCGTGTTAGCCAGGATGGTCTCGACCTCCTGACCTCGAGATCCGCCCCTCTCGGCCTCCCAAAGTGCTGGGATTACAGGCTTAAGCCGCCGAGCCCGGCCCACACTCTCCATTAATAAGATTTCCTGACAGAAGAGACAATCCTAAACTCAATGTATCCGAAGCTTTGAGATCAGCAGGGCTACCATCTCACTATTTTGTAATTTCACAACATTCTAAGGGAAGTAAATCACCAGATTTGCTTATGTATCAGGGTCCACCAGATACTGCAGAAATAATAAAAACATTACCTCAGAAATACAGAAGGAAACTTGTGTCTCAAGAAGAAATTGAATTTATCCAACATGGAGGTCCTGAATAACCATGGTGGCTGCTGTTTGTCATCAGACAATAGAATTGTCTTTACAATAAAGGACTTCCAAAATGACAGATGAGAAACTGTATATTAAACACCTTTAATAAATACTATGAAAAAAATGAAATATAGAAAATTTAGATGGACACTTGTATTTCCTAATTTATGTATCTTGGTCAGCTTCTCCACAAGCTTACCTAATTATTTATACACTTTATACTTATTAAAGTATACATTTTTAAATGTTAGCCTATTAAAAAAAAAAAGATGTGACTTACTTAACAGAAGAGAAGGTATGTGAAATTCTTGAATTGTGTAGAGAAAGAGAGGATTATTCCCCTTTAATCCTTGTTATTAGAGGAGTTTTTTCTAGTGCTGAGGCATTGGTACAGAGCTTCCAGAAAGTTAAACAACACACCAAGAAAGAACTGAAATCTCTTTAAGCAAAGGATGAAAATAAGGATGAAGATGAAAAGGAAAAAGCTGCATGTTCTGCTGTTGCTATGGAAGAAGACTCAGAAGCATCTTCCTCAAGGATAGGTGATAGCTCACAGGGAAACAACAATCTGCAAAAATTAGGCCCTAATGATGTGTCTGGGGATATTGATGCCATTAGAAGGGTCTACACCAGATTGCTCTCTAATGAAAGAATTGAAACTGCCTTTCTCAATGCATTTGTATATTTGTCGCCTAACGTGGAATGTGACTTGACGTATCACAACGAATACTCTTGAGATCCGAATTATCTGAATTTGTTCATTTTCGTAATGGAGAATAGAAATCTCCACAGTCCTGAATATCTGGAAATGGCTTTGCCATTACTTTGCAAAGCAATGAGCAAGCTACCCCTTGCAGCCCAAGGAAAACTGATCAGACTGTGGTCTAAATACAATGCAGACCAGATTCGAAGAATGATGGAGCCATTTCAGCAACTTATGACTTACAAAGTCATAAGCAATGAATTTAACAGTCGAAATCTAATGAACGATGATGATGCCATTGTTGCTGCTTCGAAGTGCTTGAAAATGGTTTACTATGCAAATGCATTTGGGAGGGGAAGTAGACACAAACCACAATGAGGAAGATGATGAAGAACCCATCCCTGAGTCCAGTGAGCTGACACTTCGGGAGCTTTTGGGAGAAGAAAGAAGAAACAAGAAAGGTCCTCGAGTGGACCCCCTGGAAAATGAACTTGGTATTAAAACCCTGGATTGTCGAAAACCACTTATCCCTTTTGAAGAGTTTATTAATGAACCACTGAATGAGGTTCTAGAAATGGATAAAGATTATACTTTTTTTCAAAGTAGAAACAAAAAACAAATTCTTTTATGACATGTCCCTTTATATTGAATGCTGTCACAAGGAATTTGGGATTTTGACAATAGAATTCGCATGTACAGTGAACGAAGAATCACTGTTCTCTACAGCTTAGTTCAAGGACAGCAGGTGAATCCATATTTGAAACTCAAAGTTAGATGTGACCTTATCATAGATGATGCACTTGTCCAGCTAGAGATGATCGCAATGGAAAATCCTGCAGACTTGAAGCAGTTGTGTGTGGAATTTGAACGAGAACAAGGAGTTGATGAGGGAGGTGTTTCCAAAGAATTTTTTCAGCTGGTTGTGGAGGAAATCTTCAGTCCAGATACTGGTATGTTCACATATGATAAATCTACAAAATTGTTTTGGTTTAATCCATCTTCTTTTGAAACTGAGGGGTCAGTTTACTCTGATCGGCATAGTACTGGGTCTGGCTATTTACAATACCTGTGTACTGGATGTACATTTTCCCATGGTTGTCTACAAGAAGCTAATGGGGAAAAAAGGAACTTTTCGTGACTTGGGAGACTCTCATCCAGTTCTATCTCAGAGTTTAAAGAGGGAATGTGGAAGATGACATGATGATCACTTTCCAGATATCACAGACAGATCATTTTGGTAACCCAATGACGTATGATCTAAAGGAAAATGGTGATAAAATTCCAATGACAAATGAAAACAGGAGGGAATTTGTTAATCTTTATTCTGACTACATTCTCAATAAATCAGTAGAAAAACAGTTCAAGGCTTTTCGGAGAGGTTTTCATATGGTGACCAATGAATCTCCCTTGAAGTGCTTATTCAGAACAGAAGAAATTGAATTGCTTATATGTGGAAATCGGAATCTACATTTCCAAGCACTAGAAGAAACTACAGAATGATGATGGCTATACCAGGGACTCTGTTCTGATTAGGGAATTCTGGGAAGTTGTTCATTCCTTTACAGATGAACGTAAAAGATTCTTCTTGCAGTTGAAAATGGGCACAGACAGAGCACCTGTGGGAGGACTAGGAAAATTAAAGATGATCATACCCAAAAATGGCCCAGACATGGAAAGATTACCTACATTTCATACTTGCTTTAATGTGCTTTTACTTCTGGAATATTCAAGCAAGGAAAAACTTGAAGAGAGATTCTTTTTTTTTTTTGAGACGGAGTCTGGCTCTGTTGCCCAGGCTGGAGTGCAGTGGCCGGATCTCAGCTCACTGCAAGCTCCGCCTCCCGGGTTTACGCCATTCTCCCGCCTCAGCCTCCCGAGTAGCTGGGACTACAGGCGCCCACCACCACGCCCGGCTAGTTTTTTGTATTTTTTATTTTAGTAGAGACGGGGTTTCACCATCGAGATCGAGATCAGGATGGTCTCGATCTCCTGACCTCGTGATCCACCCGTCTCGGCCTCCCAAAGTGCTGGGATTACAGGCTTGAGCCACCGCGCCCGGCCAAAGAGAGATTCTTGAAGGCCATCATGTATGCCAAAGGATTTGGCATGCTGTAAAACAAAACAAAATGAAACAAAAAAGGAAGAAAAAATTTAAAAATTTTAAAAATATAACAAGAAGGTTAAATTTTTGGTGGTGATAGTGTCCCGGTACAAAAATGCTGTAAGTTAGTGAACCACAGTAGTCACCTATGTCTGTGCCTCCCTTCTTTATTGGGGGCATGTGGGCTGGAACAGCAGATTTCAGCTACATATATGAACAAATCCTTTATTATTATTATTTTGTGTGTGAAAGTGTTACATATTTTTTCACTTGTATATACAGAGAGGTTTTCCTGAATATTTATTTTAAGGGTAAAATCACTTTTGCTTGTGTTTATTACTGCTTGAGGTTGAGCGTTTTGAGTATTTAAAAAATAAATGCCAACAGAACTACTCTCCCAAGGAAAATATTGCCACCATTTGTAGACAATGTAACCTTCAAGCCTGTACTACTTTTTTGTCCCTGTATCTAAATCAAATCAGGAACTGTATTTTTTTTTTTAAATTATTTGCTTTTGAAACTTGAAGTCTTGAAAACAGTGTGATACAATTACTACTGTTCTAGCCCCCAAAGAGTTTTCTGTGCAAAATCTTGAGAATCAATAAAGATGGAAGGGAGAAACTGGAATGTTTTAACTGCAGCCCTCAGTACTTTAGTAACAGCACAACAAATTAAAAACTCATGCCACAGTATGTCGTCTTTGTGTGTCTTGCAATGAACTGTTTCAGTAGCCAATCCTCTTTGTTAGTATATGAAAGGACAGGGATTTTTGTTCCTGTTGTTATTTTAAGCTTACTGGGGAAAGTGCAGTTGGTAAAATGAAATGGTAGTCAAGCCTACTGCAACAAAGTTAGGAAGTCTGTTGTTTATTATAAACAAATAGCATGTGAAAGTGCACTTCAGATAGATTTTTTATTAATTACTTATTACCTAGATTTTAAATAGACAATCCAAAGTCTCCCCTTCCTGTTGCCATCATCTTGTTAAATCAGCCATTTTATTGAGGCACGTGGTGAGTGTTGCAACACAATGACAAAGATGGCTACTGCGCCTTGTGTTAATTAATCGTACAGTCAGCTAACCTGGAAATGAATGAAACTATTACTTCTAAGAATTACCTTGTAAAGCCCCACCAGTAAAATTTAATTCAAAACATGTTAAACATTACTTTCATGTACTATGGACAGGTACAAATAGGATTAAATTACTGGATTTTCAGAAGTCAGTAGTTTTCCCTTTCCTAGTCTTCTGTGTACGAGATGTTAATTTCTTTTATTGCATTAAGAAGTAAAAGAGTTATGTATTTTAACTAAAACAAAAAAGTAAAAACAAAACAAAACAAAAAACAGACAGAAAATAATCACCTAGAGAAAATAGTACAGGTCCCAGGGGACATGAGACTGGAAGTGTCTGTCGTTGCAGAAAATCATCAACTGGAGAAGGCGAAAGAGGTACCAGAAGACACTCGAGGGGAGGTGTCTGTGGTCCCAGAAAATCATTGGCTTGAGAAACTGGTTGGGGTCCCAAGGGACAGTCGACGGGAGGGGTCTATGGTCTTAGAAAATCATCAACTGGAGAAGGTGGAAGAGGTACCAGAAGACACTCCGGAGGTGTCTGCAGTCTCAGAGAGTCATCAGCTGGAGAAAACGGGAAAGGTCCCAGGGGACAGGCAGCTGGAGGGGTCTGTGGTCTCAGAAAATCATCAGCTGGAGAAGGTGGAAGAGGTACCAGAAGACACTTGGGAGGTGTCTGCAGTCTCAGAAAATCATGAGCTGGAGAAAATGGGAGAGGTCCCAGGGGACAGTCGACTGGAGGGGTCTGTGGTCTCAGAAAATCATCAACTGGAGAAGGTGGAAGAGCTACCAGAAGACACTCGGGAGGTGTCTGCAGTCTCAGAGAGTCATCAGCTGGAGAAAATGGGCGAGGTCCCAGGGGACCGTCTGTGGGAAGTGGTCTTAGAAAATCGTCAGCTGTAGAAGGTGGAAGAGGTGCCAGAAGACACTCGGGAGGTGTCTGCAGTCTCAGAAAATCATCAGCTGGAGAAAATGGGAAAGGTCCCAGGGGACAGTCAACTGGAGGGGTCTGTGGTCTCAGAAAATCATCAGCTGGAGAAAATGGGAAAGGTCCCAGGGGACAGTCAACTGGAGGGGTCTGTGGTCTCAGAAAATCATCAGCTGGAGAAGGTGGAAGAGGTGCCAGAAGACACTCAGGAGGTGTCTGCAGTCTCAGAAAATCCTCAGCTGGAAAAGGTGGCTGAGGTACCGGAAGACACTCGAGGGGAGGAGTCTGTGATTTCATAAAATCATCAGCTGCAAAAAATGGTAGAGGTACCAGGGGATACTCGACTGGAGGTGTCTGTGGTCCCAGAAAATCATCAACTGGAGAAAATGGTAGAGGTCCCAGGGGACACTCAATGGGAGGTGTCTGTGGTCTCAGAAAATCATCAACTGGAGTAGGTGGACGAGGTACCAGAAGACACTCGAGGGGAGATGACTGTGGTCTCAAAAAATCTTCAGCTGGAGAAAATGGTAGAGGTCCCAGGGGACACTGGAGTGGAGTTGTCTGTGATCTCAGAAAATCATCAGCTAAAGACAATGACTGAGATACCAGAAGACACTTGACGGGAGCTGTCCGTGGTCTCAGAAAATCATTAGCTGGAGAAGGTGGAAGAGGTATCAAAAGACACTCGATGGGAGATGACTGTGGTCTCAGAAAATCATCAGCTGGAGATAATGGTCGAGGTCCGATGGGACATTCGACTGGAGGTGTCTGTGGTCTCAGAAAATCATCAACTGGAGAAGGTGGAAGAGGCACAAAAAGACACTTGAGGGGAGGTGACGGCATTCTCAGAAAATAATCGGCTGGAGAAAATAGTCGAGGTCCCAGGGGACAGTCAATGGGCGATGTCTGTGGTCTCAGAAAATCAACTGGAGAAGGTGGAAGAGGTATCAGAAGACACTCGAGGGGAGTTGTCTCCAGTCTTAGAAAATCCTCACCAGGAGAAGGTGGTTGAGGTACCAGAAGACACTCGAGGGGAGGTGTCTGCGGTCTCAGAAAATCATCAGTGGTAGAAAATGGTCGAGGTCTCAGAGGACACTCGACGGGAGGTGTCTGTGGTCTCAGAAAATCATCAACTGGAGAAGGTGAAAGGGGTACCAGAAGACACTCAAGGGGAGTTGTCTGTGGTCTCAGAAAATCGTCAGCTTGAGAAGGTGGAAGAGATAGCAGAAGACACTCGAGGGGAGATGATTGTGGTCTCAGAAAATCATCAGCTGGAGAAAAGGGCCAAGGTCCCAGGTGACACTTGAAGGGAGGTATCTGTGGTCTCAGAAAATCCTCAGCTGGTGAAGGTGGTTGAGGCACCAGAAGACAATCGAGGGGAGGTGTCTGTGGTATCAGAAAATCATCAACTGGGGAAGGTGAAAGAGGTACCAGAAGACACTTGAGGGGAGCTGTCTGCAGTCTGAGAAAAGCACCAGCTGGAGAAAATGGTAGAGGTCCCAGGCGACACTCGATGGGAGGTGTCTGTGGCATCAAAAAATCATCAACTGGAGGAGGTGGAAGACACACAAAAAGACACCCAAGGGGAGTTGACTGTGGTCCCAGAAAATATCCAGCTGGAGAGAATGGTAGAGGTCCCAGGGGACAGGCAATGGGAGGTATCTGTGGTCTCAGAAAATCATCAACTAGAGAAGGTGGAAGAGGTACCAGAAGACACTCCAGGGGAGTTATCTGCGGTCTCAGAAAATCCTCAGCTGGAGAAGGTGGTGGAGGTACCAGAAGACACTTGAGGGGAGGTGTCTGTCGTTTCAGAAAATCATCAGCAGGAGAAAATGGCCGCAGTCCCAGAGGACACTCGACGGGAGGTGTCTGTGGTATCAGAAAATCATCAACTGGAGAAGGTGAAAGGAGTACCAGAAGACACTCCAGGGGAGTTGTCTGTGGTCTCAGAAAATCATCAGCTGGAGAAAATCGTTGAGGTCCCAGGGGATACTCTACGGGAGGTGTCTGTGGTCCCAGAAAACCATCAACTGGAGAAGGTGGAAGAGGCACCAGAAGACGCTCGATGGGAAGTGTCTGTGGTCTCAGAAAATCATCAGTTGGAGAAAATGGTAGAGGTCCTAGGGGACACTTGAAGGAAAGTGTCTGTGGTTTCAGAAAATCATCAACTGGAGTAGGTGGAAGATATACAAAAGGACACTCAAGGGGAGGTAACTGTGCTCTCAAAAAATCTAATGGTAGAGGTCCCAGGGGACACTTGACTGGAGGTGTCTCTGGTCTCAGAAAATTATCAACTGGAGAAGGTGAAAGAGGTACCAGAAGACACTTGAAGGGAGGTGTGTGTGGTCTCAGAAAATCATCAGCTAGAGAAAATGGTAGAGGTTTCAGAGGACACTCGACTGGAGGGGTCTGTGGTCTCAGGAAATCATCAACTGGAGAAGGTGGAAGAGGTACCAGAAGACACTCAAGGGGAAGTGGCTGTGGTTTCAGAAAATCATCAGCTGGAGAAGGTGATTGAGATACCGGAAGACACTCAAGCAGAGATATGTGTGGTCTCAGAAAATCATTAGCTAGAGAAAATGGTAGAGGTCCCAGGGGACACTCGAATGGAGGTGTCTGTCGTCTCAGAAAATCAGTTGTAGAAGGTGGTTGAGGTCCTAGGGGACACTCGAGTTGAGAAATAGTCAGAGGTCCCAGAAAACCTTTAGCTGATGGAAGGGGTTGAGCTCCCAGATGATACTGAGATGGAGGAGGCGGCTGGTGGCCCATCCATTGTCTTAAAGGTTCAGCCATGAGGTAGGGCGAGTAGGGCAATCCTGAGGAATGATGATGCTCCACTGCAACCATACTGACCTGTAGGGCAGAAGGAGGAAATGTTTTCACATATATTCATTTGATGGACAAAATTACCACCACCAACACAGGCTGCACCTTCTGTTGCTCGTGATAGTTTTTTGCACCTTTCCATCCTCCAGGTTTCAAAATAGCATTATCAGTGTTATAATATCACTCTTCCGCTAAGTACTGCCGACAGCTGGGGAATAAAGAAAAGTCACTGGGACACACTGTTGTCTCCACATGCCAGTGGGTCTGTCTGCAAATGTAGGCAGGCTGGCGTCCTGCCCCAGGGAAGACAGAGTCATAACAGAGTAATAAAGCAGCATGTTTGACACACACGAGTGTCTATGTCGATCCTCATTCCTCCCTCACAGCCATCACCAGAGCATTTTCCTTGCACCAGGTCAACAGACAGTAAGAGAGGCATGAAAAGCCCATTGTCCACACATGCTGCAGCTTCTTTTTGGAGAATGTTTTCTAGGCCTTTTACGTTCTGTCTCTGATTCTCAGAACTCTGCAAGGTCAGTGTGACCACCCTGCTCAAAATCTAAGAAAACAGAGGTTTGCAGAGGAAGGAGAAAATGTGCGCAGGGTCACAAAGCTTGCAAGAGGCCGAGTGGAAGTTGATTCCAGCTCTCCCTGCAGGGCCCTCTCATTTCCCCCTCTGTTTCCCTTCTTGACAAAGGATCTTCTTCACTCTGGAGGCGCCACCCATGAGAACGAAGAGTTCTGGGGAGACGTGGATTCCTGAAGAGCTGCAGGGGAACTGGGAGAGGGTTTGCTGACAGAACAATCCTACAGCAAGAAGTCAGTTAGGCATGGCTGTAATATTTCTTTTCACTCCCAGGTAATACCAAATGGTAGGTGCATTAAGACATAAAGAATACTTTTGTCCACGGAAAAATGAGGTGGGAATTCTAAACAAAGCAAGTTTTAAAAATGTGTTTGACTTCAGGTGTACAAGTCCCATCATGTGTAATCATAGGACTCGGCAGCTGTTGAAGGTACAGAGGCCACACAAGAACCAGCGTAGCTGAGCATCAATTAAGGCCTTCATTTGGAATTGTCCCTTGGTAATAAGTTACATTCACTCTTCACTAACACTCGGGGCCTATTTGCTATTACAAATATGGAACCTCTGACACTGAGACTATTAGATCAGGGGCACCACTGGGTGGGGATGAAGGTGTTTTAGCACCACACAGTTACCAAGAGGGACGGGACTGTGATGGACTATGGAATTGGCCTTGTCAAAGAGCATTCGAAATTGCACAAAGCACAAATTAATGTTGGATTAATGAGTTTTCACTATCTTCTGGGAATACAGCAGATATTTCAAATGTTAATCTCCTACCTTAGAGCAGAAAACAAACAAAATCACAGCAAAAGAAAGAAAACCCCACATATTTCAGAAATGAGACCTCACAACATCTTGAGTAAAGAGGGTCAGTGGGGGTTCCCTGCACCATGAGACCTACAGTAGTGGAGGTCAGTGGCACCTCCTCGTGTTCGTTCTGGAAACAGAACAGTAAAAGTCCTTCAGCCCTCGGCCCCTGAGCATTTATGGATTCTGGAGGTGCCACCAACGATGATCAGCGGGGAACGGAGAAGCCTGAAAGCTCATGGGGAAGATTTTGCTTCTGAAAAAGTCCAGACAGAAAAGGCACCACAGAACCCACAGAGCAGAGGCCAGGCCAGGAGAGGGCGCTGTAGGAAAAGACCAAAGTATCCTGATACAGGAAGAGTGAAAACCACCCCAGCGTTTACCTTTGTCTTCTCTGTGTTTCCAGCTGGGATGCAGCTGCTGTTCCTCATGGGAACCGAATGAGGTCCTGAATCTGCTAAGGGCCAGAGAAGGGAATGGGGCTAAATCTGGCTTGCATGTTCTGTGCAGAGTAAGAACCCCCCTACACCCTCCACTGCCATCTCACTCTCTGCCGCACAGGTCCCTTACCACAGGCGCAGGGTTTCTTGACCACATGCCTCAGAGGAATCTGGAGCCCTCGGGGCCCTCATCCTTGAGGAAGACACCACAGAGCCCTGGTCCAGGGGTATTCTTAACTCTCAACAGGCTGTGAACAGGTCGGGCTCTAACCAGCTGGAAATGAGCTCTAAATCAGTACATATCAGAGGAACTCACTCATCATGTAAGCACAGACCCAAAATTAAAATAGGAACAGACCTGTTTGGAAGAATATCAGTAAACCCTGGATAGGAACAACACTGCTCCTCTTCTTCAAGCCATAGGGGCATTTAAAATTCTGTGGATTCATAGTTAATCTAACTTTCATACCTGGCCAGGTATTATCAATACTTATGAACAGAAATGGACATAGAAAGATGAACAGTCGTGAGAAAAGGTAAGAGCTACAGAAATTAACTGGAAAGTTTTAGGGTTACACTTCAAATGTTAGAGTAAGATTACATAGAAATTTAACTTACTAACGGAGTTATACAGTTGACAATAAACAACTTAAACAAACAAAAAGAATGAAGGAAGTTCCAAAAAGTGTAAATAAATACTTCTTCTTCTTCTTTTTTTTTTTTTTTTTCCTGAGTCTCGCTCTGTCGCCCAGGCTGGAGTGCAGTGGCGCAATCTCGGCTCACTGCAAGCTCCGCCTCCCAGGTTCACATCATTCTCCTGCCTCAGCCTCCTGAGTAGCTGGGACTACAGGCACGCGCCACTGCGCCCGGCTAATTTTTTTTGTATTTTTAGTAGAGACGGGGTTTCACCAAGTTAGCCAGGATGGTCTCGATCTCCTGACCTTGTGATCTGCCCACCTTGGCCTCCCAAAGGGCTAGGATTACAGGCGTGAGCCACTGCGCCCAGCCTGCTTCTTTTCTTAAAGCAGATCTCATGCTACAGTATTGATCCATGAAGACATGGCTAGAAAATCTGTGCTCTCATCCCCAAATGTGGCTCCCATTCTAAAGTGCTATTGCTGTTTCCTCAAATGAAAGAAAAATAAAGCCTTCACACTGGGTCAAGGTGGAAAGGGGAGTCAGCCCATTTGCCTTCTAGGCTCATCTCCTCAGTTAAAAGGAACCAAGACATCAGAGTGGGGCAATGTCCACAGTCGGTGGAGCGGCCTGAGTTCCACCATTCACAGGGGACCAGCCAAGATCCATTCAGCTAGGGCACCTGAGAAAAATAGGGTCCTACCACCTAGCAGGACAACTGTTCTCTTTGTAAGTGCTTGGAATTGTTTCCAGGAAACACAACAATTACCCCACCCGAGCCCTCACCCCCAAAAGGAGAAGCAGGGTGTGTGGATTGTGCAGCAGAAGCTAAGCAGCTGCCTTCACAGCGAGCTCCTACCTCTCCAGACACGGTTCTTTAGGCCTGGTCGTCCCTGGACTGGCTCCTGACTCATGTGTCTCTCTGGCATTCTCTGCTTTTCCCTCATTTCACACCTACAAGACAGAGGAAGAATTGACTTGAAGAATTAAAACACCAAGTTCTTTACTAGACACTCAAAGCTTTATCTTAAAACAAACACATCCTTTAAAATGTCCATCACAGTGACCTACCCGTGCTGCTTGTAGGCAGCCTTCCTCTCGGCCATCTCCCTCTGCAAGGCTTGAGCACAGAGCTGTGGGGAGAAAAATACATCCACGTCCTGACCTGGCAGACTATGTCCAAAAGCAAGGAAAACAAACAAACTTACCCAGTTGTCAAGAGCCTTTCTTGCATAAGGGGTGATCTGAAAAAGCCAACACATGAGAAATTGAATGTTGAGAGAGTCTAAGGGCCGTGGCATCATCTGCATCAGCACTGAACAATCCTACAACTGTGGGGAGGAAGGTCCTTACTTTGCATCTGTAGGAGTCCTCTGCCCGCCACTGCAACTGTTGCATGTCTTGAAACATTTTCCTGTGGATTACAATCACTTTCATCAGATAAAGCACCACTTTCAGGATGATTTTAAATAATCTGCCATGTTTCTGTTATCCTCACAACTGTACCCTTACATAATCTATCTATAGCTAGAAAACATACTTCAGATGGCTATAAAAGTACAGTCTGGGCCGGGCACGGTGGCTCATGCCTGTAATCCCAGCACTTTGGGAGGCCGAGGTGGGTGGATCACAAGGTCAGGAGATCAAGACCATCCTGGCTAATACAGTGAAACCCCATCTCTACTAAAAACACAAAAAATTAGCCAGGCATGGTGGCAGGCACCTGTAATCCCACCTACTCGGGAGGCTGAGGCAGGGGAATCTCTTGAACCTGGGAGGCGGAGGTTGCAGTGAGCCGAGATCACACATTGCACTCCAGCCTGGGTGACAGAGTGAGATTCTGTCTCAGGAAAAAAAAAAAAAAAGTACAGTCTGATCCAAACTGTTGCTATATTGATTTCTCCTCTTTCGCTTAATGCCTGCTAACTTCTGAGTTGACAATTTCCTTCCCCATTCTCAGTATACCCCTAATTCGTCCTTCACTGGGCATCTTTTATCATAAAGCTCTATTCTCTTTGTATTAATATCCTTGCCATGTTTCATAGAGCAGAAACAGCTGGGCTTATAAACAGGCATAGTCCTTTTGAAGGATGGGGTTGATCCTACAACAAGACACTTTCCTAAGGATGACAACAACTCACACCACCCCTAGAATGGCTGATATGAACCGAGTTTCCACACAGTCTAGCTGTTAATGGGGTCAGGAGACGTTTTGCTACTTCACATCTTTTGGTCACTGGTAAATCTTAAGGTACTTTGTTTTCTCTTTTGTGAACTCTCTCTCCATACGTCTTCTGACCATTTGTTTCTATTTCTGTATTTACTGGGTCTAAACATTGTACAAAGGTTAAAAACAACACCCAAGAGGGTGGGGTTCAGCTTCTTTTTTTTTCTGAGACGGAGTCTCGCTCTGTCGCCCAGGCTGGAGTGCAGTGGCCGGATCTCAGCTCACTGCAAGCTCCACCTCCCAGGTTCACGCCATTCTCCTGCCTCAGCCTCTAGAGTAGCTGGGACTACAGGCGCCCGCCACCTCGCCCGGCTAGTTTTTTTTGTATTTTTAGTAGAGACAGGGTTTCACCGTGTTAGCCAGGATGGTCTCGATCTCCTGACCTCGTGATCCGCCCGTCTCGGCCTCCCAAAGTGCTGGGATTACAGGCTTGAGCCACCGCGCCCGGCCTGGGGTTCAGTTTCTGAACTCACTTGTAGGTGCGTATTTTTTTCATAACCAATTTCCCATTTTCCTCTGCCTCTGAGAGCTGCCTCTCCTTTTCTGCTTGCTCACATTCTTTCATTCTCAGCTTCCTGAGATTAGAAGGGACAGAAATGCATACACATGATTCACTAGCCTGCGTGGGATCCTCTCTGCCCTTCTGGCATCTGAAGGCTGTGATTCAAAAGTCTCTCCCACAACCTTCCTACAAATGAACCAACTGATTCTCACAACCGAAGGGAGAACTGACACCTCCCCTTGAGAGACAAAGAAAAATCACACTCTGGACAGCTGGCAAGTCACCTGTCATTTCCAGCTCATCTTCATAGTTCTATAGTCCTATTCTTTAGTAAATAAAGACTATTTAAAGCTCCTATGAGGTGCACTATGTGTGTCTCTGGGGTCAGTTTTGTGCTTGACACAGCGAAAGCCCATTTTAGTTCAGTGTGAAAAATCAGACCTCCCCAACTCATCACAACTAACTCCATCAGGAGCAGAGGATTGCTCCTCATCTGACTCCTCCTGTGGAAGACCCGATTCTCAGTCAGAGGCTGATGCCAGAACCCAATCAGTCTCAGAGAGATCCTTCCAGAATATGGTGTCATTAACCCTGCAGTTCACTACTGCATTTTGCCATGATTCAGGACTGGAACTCTTGTCATTGACTTTAAAGATCCTGGTTCAGAGAAAAGGCAATCTGAATGCTGGGTGCATCTATTGAATTAGAAATGATTGGAATGGCTCCTAAGTCAGGGTGTTATGTCCTGAAAATAGGTGACAACTGCAAACCATCCACCCTGGTGTTGACTGACTCTAACAAGGTTCAGTTCACAGTGAGGGCAGAAAAAGGAAATGGCCTAAAAAGGTAGGTTTGCTGTGTTGCCCTCACACGACTTGATTCATGGTCCTGATCCTAAGGATCTCACCTGATACTTGATTTTATAGGAAGGATGTATAAAATTCCAAGAACCCTAGGAAACAGGGACAAACACACTTCAAAGAGAAAGTTAATGCACTTGTTTCTGACCACAGGGCGTCCTTTAGCACATGCTGTCTGGAGTGGCCTTAAGCACGGAGTGTGTGGTGAGGTCCTGAGGATGCAATGGGAGCAAGGTCCTGTTCCCACTTTAAAGGAGCTCACAGTTTAATGCAAATGAGAAGCCAGTGAGGACATCACTACTCCTGCTGTGCACTTGGGAACTAGAAACACAAAACCTGACTCTGGAGGGAAGCTAAGGAAGCGTTCTGCTCTTGAGTTGACGCAAGTGCATCTGAAGCTTCTGATCTCCCATAAGAACAATGGGGGACACCAAACAGAATATAAAACCCATGATTGAATGCATCAAATTGCTAACATGGCAGTAAAGAGACATGAGGTCAAGATGGAGAAGAAGGAAACCCAGGACGAAGGCCGGCCTCGTGTTTGGAACCCATTTCCCTGAGTTTCATTGCTGAATTCCAGAAGGGACTACGAGATGCAAAGACTCAGAGCAGCTTTTGTACATATGCATGGGATTAGATGGAAAACAAGTGGATTGAGGGTCTGGCAATGAAGGCGACCCATACTGAAGTCCACTGGCTCTGGTTGAGACCCAGAAGAGTCACACACCAGAATAGAGGTGGACAGGAAATACCCTGGCCTTTATAGGGACTGAGCCTGCACTGATGACCTTAATTGCTGCCTGTATGGAGGACCCCTGACCAACCCCCAGAAGTAGACTCCCATCTCTTCTGCAGCAAGATAACATGCTAGTAGGCCTCAATTCATTGCTAAATATTTTTTAACAAGTATCTCACATTTAACAAAAAAAGATCAGTCATATGGCAGCAAAATACAATGTAATATGACCAAAACGTGAAAGACTGTGAAAATGAATCTGGAGGTGACCCAAACATTAAATTCAACAATCCAGGCTGGGTCCGGTGGCTCACTCTGGGAGGCTGAGGCAGGCGGATCGCCTGAGGTCAGGAGTTCAAGACTAGCCTGGCCAACATGGTGAAATCCTGTCCCTACTAAAAATACAAAAATTCGGCCGGGCACGGTGGATCACGCCTGTAATCCCAGCACATTGGGAGGCCGAGGTGTGCGGATCATGATATCAAGAGTTCAAGACCAGCCTGGCCAATATGGCGAAACCGTGTCTCTACTAAAAATACAAAAATTATCTGGGCATGGTGGCATGTGCCTGTAGTCCCAGCTACTCGGGAGGCTGAGGCAGAAGAATTGCTTGAACCTGGGAGGTGAAGGTTGCAATGAGCCAAGATCACACCACTGCACTCTAGCCTGGGCGACAGAGTGAGACTCTGTCTCAAAAAAAAAGAAAAAAAAAAAATTGGCCAAGTGTGGTGGCACACACCTATAATCCAAGCTACTCGGGAGGCTGAGGCAGAATTTCTTGAACCTGGGATGCAGAGGTTGCAGTGAGCCAAGATTGCGCCACAGCACGCCAGCCTGGGTGACAGAGTGAGACTCTATCTCAAAATTAAAAAAAAAAAAATAGTGGTGGCTCACGCCTCTAATCCCAGCAGTCTGAGAGGCTGAGGCGGGTGGATCACCTGATGTCAGAAGTTGGAGACCAGCCTGGACAACATGGTGAAACCTCATCTTTAGTAAAAATACAAAAATCAGCTGGGCTTGGTGGTGGGCACCTGGCACCGTAATATCCAGCTACTTGGGAGGCTTGAGGCAGGAGAATCCGTTGAACCCAAGCGCAAGTGAGCCAAGATTGTGCCATTGCACTCTAGCCTGGGCAACAAGAGCAAAGCTCCATCTCAGGAAAAAAAAAAAAAAGAGAGAGAGAGAGAAAGGAAAACCAGTGCAGTACTAGCACTCCTGTTCCCCCAAAAAAATTACAAGCCAAGAATGTAGGAGGGAAAGGCAGTTATGCAGATTACACTAATCAAGCAGAAAGGACAAACTCAACTTTGTATCCACTGAATTTGCCACAAATATTGGCAGAAAATATTCTCAAGGATATTACAGTGTTCTTAGCTTGTGAGGCGCACATTGGTTCATACAACAGCGGTTGTGTCAAAGCACATTTACCCTTCCTCGGTAGTCTTCCCTCTGTCCATGGATTGGTAATGACCTGTTGTCCGTTGTCACCTTATGGACCTCAGCTCGAACTTTGGCTTCATATATCTCCATGAAGTAAAAGGTCTCCCAGGCAATTTTAATTCCTGGAAAGGAAGAAACCTTTTTCTTTGTGTGCGTACAAGTGGACCTCAGCCCTTGGTGAGGGTGAAGAGAGAAGGTGAGAAACCTGAGGGCAAGAAGCTGTTCTTTCCCTTTCCAGGTCAAACTCATTTTCCATGCCTATGGGGGATTCAACCAGAGCCCACCTACCCTTCTTGGCTATAGCCTATTGGGACTCCAGCCTCTCCCGCTGTACATTCGTGATCTGTCCATGTACATTTTCGTAACTCTTAAGAAAAAGTTTGAGGAAAGCACACCTGGGGAAACAATAATTAGGATGACTGCCCGAAGGGCGCCAGCGCGCTCGAGTGCCTGTACTCCAGGCATTTGTGGGCAAGCCGAGTGGGGATCACGGGGTCGAGGACGTGTTTCAAGACCGGGCTGGCCCAAGGAGCGAGAATACTCTGTCCTCTACAAAACATGCCGAAAAATTAGGTAAGCCTGGTGGCACAACCCGCCGTGCGTCCCCAGCCTACTCGGGCAAGGAAGCTGAGGCCATCGCTTGACCCGGAGGCGCACACAGCCACATGAGATCACCAGGACACATTGCACCCCAGCAACACCGATGAACACCATACAACAAGACATGAAGTTATACTCATCACACAACAGGGACGTCACTTCACAGGAAGAATTAGATTATCATAGAACATTAAATCCCCATCACAGAGTTAACATTGTGTTCGACACTTGAAAAGCGATGCAATATTTGGCCTCTGGGTTTCCAGATTTGTAACCATATTCCACCCCCGCTTCTGAGTCATCTTCCCGTCTCTGTCCCTGTTCTAACTCACGAGTCACTTTCCCCTGTCGCCCTGACATCACCTCATGATGGAGGTGGTATGGAACTATGCAAAACCAGGTTCGGTCGACTAACCGACTGGATTCCACCAAGATTATCCGCATATTGCCACTTATGATTTTTAATCTTCTAGCATATTCACAATATTTGTTTGCATCATATTTTATTAAATTAATTTTTTTTTGAGACGGAGTCGCGTCCTGGTCGCCCAGGCTGGGGGCAGTGGCGGATCTCAAGCTCACTTCTGCAGCTCTCGGGTTTACACATTCTCTGCCTCAGCCTCCGGGTAGCTGGAGACAACAGGCGCCTGCCACTCGCCCGCTAGTTTTTTGTATTTATTTTTAGTAAAGAGACGCGGGTTTCCACCGGGTTGTTACCAGATGGTCTCGATCTCCTGCCTCATGATCCGCCTTCCCAAAGTGCTGGGATTACAGGCTTGAGCCACCGCGCCCGGCCTGTTCTCATCATAGCTATGACACAATGCAAATCCCGTCTCAGATGTGGGTCAGATACCTCTGAATTTCCTGAAGTAGTCACGGAAATAACTTTTTTTTTTTTAACTTTCTTTTTTTTTTCTTTTTGAGATGGAGTCTCACTCTCTCACCCATGCTGAAGTGCAGTGGCGCCACCTTGGCTCACCACAACCTCCACCTCCCAGATTCAAGCGATTCTCATGCCTCAGCTTCCCAAGTAGCTGGGATTACAGGTGCCCGCTACCATGCCTGGGTAATTTTTATCTTTTTAGTAGAGATGGGGTTTCACCATGTTGGCCCAACTGGTCTTGAACTCCTGACCTCAAGTGATCTACCTGCCTCAGCCTCCCAAATTGCTGGGATTACAGGTGTGAGCCACCACACCTGGCCTGAAATAATATCTGTCAAATTCTTTGTAGAATTTGTTTTTTCTGATTTCTGCACATAGGATAAAAAACAAAACATGTACTAGGATTTAGAGAGAAGCAATGGGTAATCTAAAAAGATGAAAGAGCAACCATGTCTATCCCACAGCTACTGCTAGATTTCACAGGAAAGGTAGCTGGCCCAGTTTGGAGCTAGGAGAATGTCAAATACATGAAGAAATGAGAAGTGAAGAAACGCTGTCATGCATGAACATTTCATGGCACCCACGATGTCCCTCCTTTGGAGGTAATGAGATAGATGACTAGATGACAAGGAGAAAGATGAGAAGGTGCAAAATCGTCCAAGTCAAACAGCTCAACTGAACTTTCCTTAATGGAATTTTTTAAAAGTGGTAAATTTAAAAACTTCCCCCGGCTCACGTGGTGGCTCACACTTGTAATTCCATCACTTTGGGAGGCTGAGGTGGGCGGATCATTTGAGGTCGGGAGTTTGAGACCAGCCTGGCCAACATGGTAAAATCCCAACTCTACTAAAAATACAAAAATTAGCTGGGTGTGGTGGTGGGGACCTGTAATCCCAGCTACTTGGGAGGCTGAGGCAGGAGAACTGCTTGAAGCCAAGAGGTGGAGGTTGCAATGAGTCGAGATCACACTATTATACTCCAGCCTGGGCAACAGAGGGAGACTCGTCTCAGAAACAAAACAAACAAACAAAAGAAGTCCCCCAATTTATACTGAAAATTCTCTTTTCAGGACTAAGTGGGGTAGAGAATGTTAAATTGGGCCTAGATACCTTCATAACTCATATATTTTCTGTTTTCTACATATCTTGGGAGGCAGTGCCAAATGATGTATAATTATCTAGGTTGTAAAAATAAAACATACTTCCTCTTTCCTTGAATATCAAAAAACATTGTGGTATTAGTACTTTTATCTTGGATCATTGTTCAGAAGGAGGTTCAGCCCCCAGACAACCACATTTTTACTGTCATGAATGGCAAGAGAAAATGTAGAGCTCAATTTACCCAATGGACAAAAAGCCTCAAAAGGCAAATTATGGCACAACTTAGCAGCCAAATTCTTATCAAGTACAGACTTTTGACATGCTGATTTCTCTCCAATTGCAACTGGGAACATGCACTTTGGCTGATGTCATTCGAAATTACCCTGCCCAGACACATTTTTCATTGATTCCCTGGAGAGCAGTTCTAAGAGATTCTCTGGGGCTTTCTCTGCATCAGAAGGTGAAGTGCAGTTCTGCCCGTCACTTCCCTGCAGTTTGTCACCTTGTCCCTATGATCTCATAGGAACTTTGTCTCAGGCCAATTGTTTGTTCCTTGGGCTCTTTCATTTCCCCTAAAAATCATTTGCTGCCCCTCTAAATTGCTTACATCTCTATCTATCTTCCTTTCCCCTCAGAAGAGGGTGCTCTTTAAGCATCAACCATCTGGCCCTTCTAGCAGCCTCATTTTTCAGCTGGCTCTCATGTTTATACCTGTTCTATGTTTTTCTTCTCCTGTTAATCTGTCTGTTGTCAGCTCATTTCTGCAGTGAATCTTTAGAGAGGGGAGTGGAAGCTTTCCTTCCTCCCGTACGATAGAATTATAAAGCAGAAGAGTTTAGAAAGAATTTCCTGTTTAAGGGATGAAACTTCATACTCCATTTCTGATAAATAGCACAAAGGTTAAAAAAACTTATTTTTGACCCAAAACTCTGTTGACATTCTATTAAATGAACACCAACCTATTTAATTTTCATAATGTAAATGGCGGATATCTTCATAATTTTTATGCTAATAAATCATTTCCCTGATTTTTTGGGTAAAACCACATATTGATAATGAAGTCCAGAAACATGAATTGTTTTAAATAATTTCTTCTCATTTGTGGTTACAAGTATACCTCTACAGAAAGTTCGTATACTCACACCAAAGCTAGTTTTCCAGAGGAAAATGCCAAGTGTAGAAATTCCCAGAAACACAATAATGATAGCTATCCAAGGAATTCCAAAAAAGTCAGGCCCAGGCTGAAAATGGTCAGGCAGAGAATTGATAACCTGAAATAATAATAGTGGAAATAACGAAAAGGTCAATGACACTGACAATATTTCAGTCAAAAAGAATCATCCTTAGAAACCGTTAACCTCCTCCAAAAGGTAACCACATCCCTCAGATATCACCATGAGATTCCACTGCTACAAAAAAGAACAGAAGTTACCAGTCTCATGTTTTTTGGATGGCTGGTAGTGTTTTTAGGCATTGCAAATGTGGGGTGTCTTTTTTCTTGGTATAAAGCAGGGATATCCAATCTTTTGGCTTCCCTGGGCTATATTAAAAGAAGCAAAGTTGTCTTGGGCCACACATAACATATACTAACACTAACAATAGCTGATGATCTTAAAAAAAACTCTTTTTTTTTTCTCTGGAGACAGTCCCACTCAGTTGCCCAGACTGGAGTGCAGTGGTGCAATCTCGGCTCACTGCAACCTCCAGCTCCTGGGCTCAAGCCATTCTCCTGCCTCAGCCTCCCAAGTAGCTGAGATTACAGGTCCCTGCCACCATGCCTGGCTAATTTTTGTATTTTATGTGGAGACGGGGTTTTGCCATGTTGGACAGGCTGATCTCAAACTCCTGACCTCAGGTGATCTGCCCGCCTTAGCCTCCCAAAGTGCTGGGATTACAGGCATGAGCCACCACACCTGGCCAAAATCTCATAACGTTTTCAGAAAGTTTACAAATTTGTGTTGAACTGCATTCAAAACTGTCCTGGGCCACATGCAGTCCGTCACCCATGGTTAAGACAAGCTAAGTATAAAGTCATTACCTTTTCTTTCTTTTCTTTTCTTTTTTTTTTTTTATTTTGAGACAAAGTCTTGCTCTGTTGCCCAGTCTAGAGTGCAGCGGCACGATCTTAGCTCACTGCAACCTCCGCCTCCCAGGTTCAAGCGATTCTCCTGCCTCAGCCTACTGAGTAACTGGGATTACAGGCGCCTACCACTGCGCTCTGCTAATTTTTGTATTTTTAGTAGAGATGGGATTTCACCATCTTGGCCAGGCTGGTATCGAACTCCCGACCTCATGATCCACCCATCTTGGCCTCTCAAAGTGCTGTGATTACAGCCTGGCCAGTAATTATCTTTTCCTTATTTACTTATTTTTTAAATTGATGTATAACATTGGTTGTATTTATCGCATATCACATGATAAAAGAATCCGTCTGAATCATACTTCTCTCTTGGATTATGTGAATCTTTGTCATTTAAAACTCAGCATAAGTTAAAAAAAAAAATACAATGAAGAGATGACTTCATTCACAAATAAGTATCAAATTTTAGTGCTTAAAAATTACCAAGGTGGGCCAGGCGCAGTGGCTCACGCCTACAATCCCAGCACTTTGGGAGGCCAAGGCGGGTGGATCACGAGATCAGGAGATCGAGTCCATCCTAGCTAACACGGTGAAACCCCATCTCTACCAAAAATACAAAAAATTAGCAGGGCACGGTGGCACGCACCTGTAGTTCCAGCTACTTGGGAGGCTGAGGCAGAAGAATCGCTTGAACCAGGGAGGCAGAGATTGCAGTGAGCCGAGATCGTGCCACTGCACTTCAGCCTGGGTGACAGAGCAAGACTCTGTCTCAAAACAAACAAACAAAAAATTACCAAGGTGGAGATTATGAAAATGGCAAAAAGGCATGAATAGTGCGGAATTTCTCTAA